TTGAAAAAATTGATCATTGTTATCGTTCTCATGAATGTTTCATCACACGAAATTACCTGGTCAAATTTTACTTTTCCGCACACCTAGTGTAGGGAAGGTATTGTATTAGGCCAAAAAATTAAAGTCATCCCAAAACATGTTTTCTATCCATATTAATGTGCGTCGCTGTGTGTGATGTGTCCTGTGTCCTGTGTCCTGTGTCCTGTGTCCTGTGTCCTGTGGCGTGTTGCCAAAATTTGTTAACTCGATAAATCTTTTTCCAAAAACTCAATTCAAATTCTGACTTTGCAGGATGATTTGGGACTACTAGGAGACGTGCTGATTAGTTTTTGAGCAATATCTGTTGACCGGTGTAATTTTTTTGGGTCCGAATGGACACAATCCATACATTTTACTTTTTTGATCATTTTTCAACCATTTTGGTGACACGATGGTTTCGTGCTCAGACATGAAATTCAAAATCTGACTTTTCGGGATGATTGGGCGTTACGAGGAATAGATCTGGTCAAATTTTCAACGACATTGATTGATCGATGTAAAACTTAGACTGTGAAGAGGCACTTATGAGAAAAATGCCTTAAAATGATATTCTTTCAATTTGAACGCTGAAAGACTGTGTAGTGGGGGTTTTTTGGCACGAGAAACCCGAATCTGATGTTAGTTTTAAGATGCAATCAATTTTTCACAGACTTTTCATACAAAAATCGAAAAAAAAAATTCATTTTTGTATGAAAGACTTGCCTTTGTGGTACTGTAATGATGTGAAACTTTGAACAGGCTATTTTTTGGATTGAAATTTCTTTAGACTTAGTATGATTATTTATTTTGATAAGAAAATAATATTCACAAGTTTTCACGGTAATTTAAGTTACTGCAACCATACATAGACCATCATTTCTGTTTATTCCCAAAATTTCGGTTCCATGCGGAAAAGTCAGCTTGCGTACGTAAGCCTCTTTATTTCATCTGTCTTTGCGCATTTTTAATTGCATTTATATCTTATTTACAGCAAATAATTTTGATCACAAATACACAGTATTTGTATTTTTATTTTGCCCACTTTACATTGAGCTTATTCTATCTAAACCGAGTGTTTTACTATTTGTTTTGTTTGGAATTGATTTGGTATGAATTATAAGTTGCAAATTGGCGCCGAAATAAAACATATGTACTAACTGTGGGAAACGAGTTTTTAATCAAGAAATTCGATCAGAGGCTATTCATGTGGATTCGAAAATATTTTCAATCTGTTTATGATATGTCGAATTCATTGAACCACTTTTTTGCATGGTCCAATGTCATCGTCATTTTATTATCACTTCAATTTCTTGCAACCGAATTTATATGGATTTATTGGAAAATCTATAATAAACATCATATTCAATCATTCCGTTAGTTTCTATATTCGTTTTGTTTCGAAAATTTAGTCAATTGAATTATTTTCTATTTAATATCAGTATATTTTGTCTGGCTGGCGCTTTTATCAATATTGGCTTTAGACTCATTTCGAGCAACAGTTAAGTGTAAAGTAGAGGTAAAAATCGTCCAGTTTTTGTTTGAAAATAAATAATTTTTTCATATTTTCTTTTATTAGATCGAACGCATTCGATTTAATCTAAATTCGATTCATTTTCAATTAGATGATCAAGTAACTGCTCTAGAGGTAATTATCATTGATTACAAAACTCATTACAAAATGTTCATGTGGATGGCGTTTCTCTTGAAGGTTGAAACAACATTAATGCAAATTAAACAAAACCCCATTATTTTCCATGCTAATGGATTATTTAACGTCGACATCAAGGAATTGCTACAAGTATAACTGTTTTAAACTCTGAAGTACTCAAAATAATTGAATTTATTTGTTTTTTTTTTAGATAATTAGGGGAATATTATCTTATATGATTTTCTTTATTCAATTTTCACCAAAATATCGGCTTTGTTATCACGAAGGAAGCTGCAAGAATTTGGTGCATTTAAGCTATTAAGATTTATTTTTTATCTTTCAATATAAATTTGTTTGATGACATATTTAATAATAAAT